GGGGAAGGGCAGCGTCGGCGGTCGCGGCTCTGCCGCCTTTGTTGTCTTTCTGGATCTGTCCTCTGCTCCTGCCTTCCTTTCTGCTGTTGTCGTTAAAGGCGAAAGGAATGAGATTAAGCAGAGGTGAATGCGATCTCGACGTTCTGATTCGCATTCCAAGCTGCTTTTTGTTTTTATTATTGATCGCAAACCCGCGGCTGTTCGTTCCGTAGGGAACGTTCCGTCCGGGGCCGGGGTGTCATCCCCCCCTTTTCCCTGGGAACCGCAGGAGCTCCAGGCTGGAATGGTGCTCGTCTTTTTCTGCGTGCGTGGGCCTGGGGGGTGGGGAAGGAGCTCTGTAAAAATGGAGGCGAACAATGATGAGTGCTGGGGTGCTCTCCCTAGGAAACGGGGTCTGTATCCTTGTCACCTGATCCCTTTATTTTTGTTGTGCTTTATTTTGGCCTGTCTTTTCGATACAGTCTGTTCTTTTCCTTCGAACGACAGAAAAATGATACTCCCCAGTCTTTCTGCCCTCCTGTTTAATGATTCTGTGGGAAAAAAAAAAGTCACTTGAAAAACAAGGTCATTAGCTGAACTTTGCTTCCTCATCCTTCAGTCCCTTTGGAGTGCCTGTGGAAAACTTCTAGCTTTATAATTACTACTAATGATTGGGGAGAAGAAATGACAAATCAAATTAATTGTGATTTTTTTTGTGCGTGTTCCTTTTTAATAAATGCTTTGCAAATGTTCTTGTTCCGTCCCCGCTCCAGAGATCAGCCCTAGATTTACCACCCAGGGGTACTGGTACTGCATGCAAGGTAACTGAGACTCCCTCATAAACCTAAGGGCGAGGGTGAACAGTTACACCACAGGTTTTCCCTGCAGGCCTGGGAGTGGCCCATGGCTGGGTCTGCAGAGGTTTTTGGAAGTCAGTATTGGGCTGAATCTGTCCCAGCTCTCCTTGGGGCCCCTGGCCCGGGTGAGCGGGCAGTGCCAGTGCCGAAGTGCCTGCGGTTCTGTGTGGGGTGACGAGAACTGCAGAGGGCTCTGTAGGTCAGGGGTGAGACAAGCTGTGAACTAGGGATTAGCACAGCATATTGTACAGCAGATCGTGATAGACACGCTTGGAAGAGGTGTGTGGAGAGTGGACCCTGCCTGGCAAGAGGTGAAAGAGGTCAAGATAGAGAGGTATCAGCAGATCTCCATGGGGAAAGCCAGGATCAAAATAACAAGGTGTGCTGTAGTTAAGGATTAAAATTACAACACATGGTGAGGCCCAGATGTGTGTTGTCGGGGTAGCCTCTTGTCAGAGCTGCCTATGGAGCAAATAAATACAGCACACAGCTGTTCCTTACATCACTTCTGTATCTGCCCTTCATGACAGCAGGATCCTTGAAGATGATGTCTGGGCTGCACAAGCTGCAGTGCCCTGATAAATCTCAGCATTTTGCTGAGATTATACTGTTGGCATGGCCCCGCATTACCACAGTCACCACCCACCAGCAACAGACATAAAAATAATCTGTATCCGCCTTTTGTATATTCTTTGTAGGCTTGTTTATGTGCATTAAGGTTTTAGTGCTTCAGAAGAGATCCCTGCACTAGCAGGCAAACTGACTACAATTGGTAGTCAGACTAGTAGAGCACCTCCATTTCTTCCCTGCTTCTTTGCAAGAGCGAGATCTCTCTGAAGCTCAGTGATGATCTGATTTAAATCTTTCCTAGGGACTTAGAAGACCCAACACTCTCACCTTTTCTTCATAGGCATGACTTCTTTTTCTTCATTATCCTTTTGAGTCAAGGTATTCAGATCAGTGCTGCTAGGTAGCAGTTCTGCTTGTTAGTAGTTTTTGAAATTGGAGGTAAGATCTAAAGGTTTCTCTCCACTGCATTTTATTCTGTTACATATTGCCTTGTTGGATGTGCAGGTAAAAAATGTGCAAAGTGCTGTTGCTGTTCAGCCTGCACCTGTTTAATGAGCTGATGGAACTGCCCTTCCTTCATAGCATTTAACAGCTGCATTTTGTATGGAAATGCATGTCCTACCACAGACTGCCTGAAAGAGCTTGAACGTATTGTACTGATTGAGGTTCTTGAAGTTCTTGAGGATGCAGAGACAATCATCTTACTATTTAAAAAAGAAAAGAAAAACTTAAAATTTTCAGGGGTTTTGCCAGCATCCAAATGGAGCACAGGGAAGAGATGTATGGTGTGATATGCTTTGCAGATACTTGGATCTAGAAGGAGCCAAGGTAGTATGGCACTTTGTCCAGGCTAAATACACCCACCTTATCATCATAACATTTTTCTCTGCCATAGTGTCTCACCAATATGACAATCACCATTTTGCTTGCAAAGAAGGCTTAGTTCACAGCCTTTTCTGTTATACAACAGATACATTTGCTGATTTAGAGAGCTATGGGAGCATGGAGCCCGTAGAAATTAGTCCCAGAATGTGTCACATGGAGAATTTGCAATTATAGGGTGTAATGTAATACAAGCTGAGGAGGTTCAGAAAATTTACTTCTTGTTTAGATGGTCAAAATGGCTTCTGCAGAACGGCAAGCCACATATATTGAATCATGCATTATACAGAATCATAGAATGGTTTGGGTTGGAAGGGACCTTAAAGATCATCTAGTTCCAAACCCTCTGCAAGGGCAGGGACACCTCCCACTAGATCAGGTTGCTCAGAGCCCCATCCAACCTGGCCTTGAATGCTTCCAGGGATGGGGCTTCCACTTGTCTGGGCAACCTGTTCCAGTGTTTCACCACCCTCACACTAAAGAATCTCCTCCTAATGTCTAATCTAAATCTCCCCTCTTCCAGTTTTGATCTGTTGTCTCTTGTCCTCCCACTACAACTTTTTACTTTGTAAAAAGCCCCTCCCCAGCTTTCCTGTAGCCCCTTCAGGCACTGGAAGGAGCTAGAAGGTCCCCCTGGAGCCTTCTCATCTCCAGGCTGAACAGCCCCAACTCTCATCCTGTCTTCATAGCAGAGCTGCTCCAGTCCTCAGGTCATCTTCATGGCCCTTCTCTGGACTTTCCCCATGAGCTCCATGTCCGTATGTTGGGGGCTCCAGAATTGGACACAGTACTCCAGATGGGGTCTCGAGAGCCGAGTAAAGGGGGAAATATCTCACCAGTTCAAAAATATGCATCACAAAAACAAACAGCCGAAAAACCACGTGCAATTTTTCTGCACAAACCTCTTAGTTCCTTGGAAACATGTTTCCAATCTTTGGAAAGGTTTTCAAGGTTTTTCATGGAAGGAGCCCAAAAATCCTCCGTTAGCAGAAGATCTCTGTCTCTTTGACCTTAGAGCTGCCCAGCTTCATATTTTTATGTCATAATGACATTATAATATAAGGAGGTTTAGTGTTTTGTGTCAAAGGTCTCTGGATCCAGTTGCCCAGATGATAGCTTATTTTTTGTTAGATATTCATATGAATAGAATAATGTCCATAACTATGTCAAGAAAAATAACTTAAAGGATATGAATTTCAGACTACAATAGAACTACTGCAGAACTGGAGATTAAAAAGAAAAAAAAAACAACAACATTCCCCAATGAGCTGTAGTTTCTCTTTAATTCTTTGCTTCATTCTAGTGCACTTGGTACTGGTGAATATAAAAATTACAATGTAGCCCTACTGGGACTAGAGCTGATTTTATGCCATGCAGTTTGGAAATATAACCTGGAAAAAGTTCATCTTATTTGTGATATGTCTTGTGTCCAGGTATTAGCCTCCTGGCAACTCCTTCATCCAAAATTAACCTGTATTGGGACCATCTAGGTGACCTGATTTATTTTTTTTCTCAGCTATTCCATTTTATTTCTATGTCTGTTGCAGACTGCATTTTTTACTCAGTGCTTACTGCTGCAGTAACCTGGGCTCCCAGCACAGCTATTGCCAGTGATTTTAGTCTTCTCACCTGTCTGTTCCTTAGTGTTGTGTATTTGTTAGAAATTAAAGACATTTCTAAAGGCCCTGGTAGCACCACCTTGCTCAAAGGGTAATATTTTCCACTGATACTTTTTGTCCATTTACTTTATTGATACTCATGGTTCACTTTATTTCTCTCTCTCTATCCAGGTAATTGTGGAAAAAGCACCAAAAGCCAGAGTACCTGACCTAGACAAAAGGAAGTATCTTGTGCCTTCTGACCTCACAGGTAACAAAGTACACCTCCTTTCCTCCTGATTTTCAATGAGATCTCGGAAGTGCTTTTTACTCTTATGATTTGCACTAAGAAAATAAATGCAGGCTCAATGTTTTAGCATTATCCCAGTTTACTTGGCTTTTCTTGTTATGTTTATATACCTCATAGCCTGAATTACAATATGCAGAATTCTTTTGAGGTCTGAGGCATCTCACTGTCTCAGCTAACATGCATGTGTCACTGCTGACTTCTAGCACTGGCAAAATTGGTTGAATTGTGTATCATAGACAGTGGCCCAATCATGAGTCGATGATGACTTACCTGCAGAGTTACCAGGAGCTGTATGGCTGTTGCAGGAAGAGACAAGTTCTTGAAACAATCCCACAGTTTTCCACCCCTGTTGTTGGAGTCACGGTGTTGTGGTTTGGGCCTAACACGATGAGAAAGAAACAGCCCCATGGCCACTCACTCATGTCCCCCCTTCAGACACACTCTGGGATGAGGAGGACAAAGCCCAACTAGAAGCTGATGGGTTGAGACAAAGGACAAGGAGGGATCTTCACCGATCAAGGTCCTGGGCAAAACAGACGCAACTTGGGGAAAAATAATAATTTAATTTCACCCTAATCACACCCCCAGGACACAGACACACCCAGAGCAGGGCTTGCAGATGTTACCCCACCCCTCCCTTCTTCCCGGGCCCCAATCCCTTGGTTCCCGGTTTCTCTCCCTCCTTCCCCCCAGCGGCACAGGGGGACAGGGGATGGGGTTTGGAGTCACTTCACAGGCTGGGGGTTCCTGCTGCTCCTGCCTCCTCAGCAAGAAGGATTCCTGACAGTCCTGCCCTGCTTCCCCACGGGGTCCCTCCCATGGCACAGAGGCCTCCACCAACCTCTCCTTCCTGAGTCCTTCCCACCAGGCCCGGAGCTGCTCC